TTCCTGTTCCATTGAACCCTTCCCCCTACATCCCATCACATTCCTCTCCTCCACCTACTCTCATCCACACCCTGCCTTTGTCCTGAACCACATGGAAACTCACTCCCTGAATTGCCCAGTTTACTGTGCTTATAAATATTTGACTAGTGCTGCAGCATTTTCCATCGCCTGTGTCCCTCAAATGAAATTTCAACAACTCTGTCCATCATTTTACTTTTCCACTGCCTATGTCATTCTCAGCAAATGATCTAAGCCCTTACTTAGTAAATAGATTTTCTTTTTTATCACTGGGAAATTTACATCATCATCATATGTTTGTGTGTTTGCGTGCTTGTTGCAGAGCAGAATAAAAATCCACTAACCATATTGTTTATCACTGTGTCCTTACTGGGAGCAAAAGCATCTCAGTCCAACTTGAATTATTTCTGTTAACTGTGTCCTCTGAAGCTTTCAGTCCGCAAATTATTTGTGGATCCGGTTATTGCAGTATATTGAAATTATATTGGCGTTGAAAGGATTTCATACATTTGTTCTGTGTTAGCCTCGGTTGTACACTGGCAAAACTCCAACATATACTAGATGTGTCCCTGTCAGCTGTATAGGGATTTCAATATTTGTATAAGAGATCAAGCTTCTCTTTTGTAGTTCAAGGCAAAGCTTATATAGCACCATTAAGTCTTGCTGCTAAATAATATTATTGTACACATTCTTTCTTCCAATCTGCCACCCCCTTGTGTCCTGTAGGAGGAATAAAAGATAACAAAACCGTAATAGATCTAATTTTGAATTTACTTCCTCCGTTCTTGATCTACTTTTGAAAGTAATTGTCAAGGATCGTGTTCCATAATTATGGGAAGAATATAGGAGGAGTGTTAAAATGTAAAATGTCTTTTCCATCCGTCCATTTTTGGGTTTTGGTTTGTACAGGTGTATGTGTGGAATCATATAGTGTGTGTTTCTATTCCATTATGCCTCTAATGAAGTCCTAGTACTTGAAGGAGCATACAACTCTTAATACCTTTTAGCATTCCACAGGAACAGGCAAATAATGTGTGCTGTGTACTTGCACCATACAACAATTAAAAATGTTCTGTCTGTTTCTCCTCAGCACTGTGTGGTATGGTGTCTACGGTCTGGTTCCCCATCGGTGCTCACCATGAGCACGGCCTCATGTCATTTGGTTTCTCCCTCTACACTGGATGGGTGGGCACTATCTTCTGCCTGCTGGGCGGGTGCATCCTTACCTGTTGCTCTTCAGATTCCTCCTCATCTCACTCCTACCAGGACAACAATCGTTTCTACTACTCCAAACAGGGAGGTGGCAACCCGCCAGCAGCCCCCTCTGCCAATCACGCCAAGAGCGCCCACGTCTGAGAAGGGAGAGATTCTGACTCTCAAGTGGATGTGTAGGGGACTGTAGTTTGTATATATAGACATATACACTAGCACACACACTCCAACACACATGTAGGCCTACACATACAATCACAGTTCCATGCAAACCTACTGGAAGAGAAAGAGACATATAGATATGTACACATTCATTCATGCTGGTTTGTCAAGAAAAATACACAAATTCTTGAATGAGCACACAAACATACATAAAAGAGACATTCACACATCCAAACACACAAAGGCTGTTAGTGTTGGAGCTTTTTTTTCCACAGATGGATTGTTTTTGTATCACAGAGCTCATCTTCCATCCTCCTCATGTTGGGTGTGGCGTGGACTCTCCCCACTTACATAATTGTGCAAGCTGCATGCACAACAGCCTGAGGTCTTAATCACCCAAGGCCTTCTGGACTGAGATATTGATCTTCCATATTACTTCTATTTTTCTATCATGCGCCTAGAAAAGAACTCTTATGAGTGCCTTTGTTGATGAATATTTTTTTTAAATCATATGGGCTAATATGATCTGTTGTTTTCATAAGAGCAGGGCATGACAGTATTATGCTTGGAATTGAAAGTGTTCATTAACATTGTTTTTGTTTATTGATATTTTTTTGGTTGGCTGTATTATACAACTCTCGAGTGAATTTGCCTCTTAAGGGATAGACTTGATTAAATAACCTTTTCCTTCCCACTGCAGGATGACTGTAAGATGATGGAAACACACATTTCACAAGAAAGCTTTAACCAGCAGTGTTCCAGTCTGTGTTAGAGTCGTCAGTATGCGCACTGCACAAATAATTCATTAGAGTGTACGCAACCTTAATCTTTGTCCATAACTCCCTCATCTGATAATATATTTCATGATCTAAAGTTGCCTTACACATTTTTATGTGACTAACTTGCTTCTATTTTAAATTTGAATAACAACTGAGTGACAAAAAAAGCAGCTTATCCTGTAACTGTGGAATTATGCATTTCATCTTAGTCAGACGTCCTCATATAGAGTAGCTCTCTAGTCTGTAGCTAACGGTATGTTGCACAAAAAAAAGTATTATTTAGATTAGCTTCTCTTGAAGGAATGTGATGACTTGAATGTTCAATGTCTAACAAATGCTCTGAACACAAATGGAACTGGATATTCCCAAACTGAAGGAACCTGATATTTCCAACTCAGATCAGTACAAAAACAGTATTAGCTGGTTATTTATTGTTTCACTGTGCTATTGTTTGATTTTCTATAATAAAGACAAAAGAATTAAAACTGCTTTCATCTCGAGTCTGTCACAATGAGTCGATAAGATGTTTTCATACCACAAAACACCTTCTTTTCTCTATCTGCGTGTTAAGTTTCAATTTGACACAGCGTCAGACAGAATGTGCTCGTTGTATGTGACGTGTGTGTGTGTGTGTGTGTGTGTGATATACAGTAACCACAGCCCTGGAACAAGCTGACATTGACACGGTTTGTTGTATACTTGTGCTATAGTATTGTGTGTTATATGTGTCAATATTTGTGTGAATATAGCTGAGGCTAATGAGAAAGCATGAATTGTTAGCTATGTATAATATCTGTATTGTGACTCAGTAACCTTGAGTTAGGTCGGCACAGAAGAGCCTGTCTCTAAGACAGTTAGTACACACAATGTACCGGCCCTCCCCTGCCGACCACACATGCGCGCACACACATGCACGCACACACACACACACACACACACACACACACACACACACACACACACACAGGATAATTGTGCCCAGTGTGTGGTTGCCTGTGTGCTCCTCTGTCCATATCAAGGTCACTGAGTCATATCACAGATATTACATGATACTTTGGAAACAATATGTGCTATCTCATTGGCCTCGGCTTATCTTCAAACACACGCAGACACACACAACCATCTGTCCTAGTTCCATACTGATTTGCTGTGATACCGTAGACCGAGTTACTGTATTTTCATTTTGTTACTTTACAGTATGTGCATGTGTCTTTCTTGGCACGTCTGTGTGTGCAGGTGTGTGTGCTTTGTGTGGTCGTGTCGGTGCGTGTATTCCCTGAAATGCGATGCTGTTCCAGGCACAGAGCCATCCAGTCCACAGGAGGCTAGTGGGAGAAGTGGGCAACCAAGCTGTCCTGTATTGCTGAAAGAGACCAGTAGTGTTATTATAGGCTATGCTAAAACATTGCTATCTAAAGTTGGTATCTATCAACAAAACTTTATTGTTGACTAAGGAAGTTTGAATAGAGGATAGAACTTAAAAAGGGAAAATCTGCTCTTGGATATTATCATACAAAAATACCATTACTCTGTGATATCTATCCTTTCCAGTAATTATTTTTGATCATGTGTTTATTTTTCTTTTCTTATCCCTGTCCATCAAAGTGGCTTGTCTATTTCTACTTCAGTTGAAATTTCCGATTAATTTCCCAGAAGACCATTCAGCAACACCATCCGTGAACTTTCTCCCTTTCACTGCGTGTTTCTGTTCAGGTGGTGAGAACAAAAACCATAGCAATAACGTTAGAGCAATACAGTGAGTTTTTGACAGTTTAGACAGAGCGAGAGTTGAGCCCTCTAATCAAAACACATTGTGTCTTGTGTCTGAATTGTTTTCTGCTTTATTAAGACTACACTACTGTTGGAGGAATAGCTATTTCTGCCTCTATAGAATACAGAGTTTGATAATAGATCATAGCTCTGTTACGAAGAGTCAGCCTATGGTTTGACCAGTTAACAACCAAATCATCAACAGTAGGCCTATTTAACTTGTAGCTGTTTAAAGGCCTGGTTAAGTCAGAAAGTGACACAATAAAGTTAAAGGTGTCCTGTGGAGTTTTCTTATTAATGTACAAAGTTATTGTTGTGTGTATCCCTGACGTCTAACAAACATGTTGGATACATTTCCTCCTCCAAACAGCATTTGCAAAAAAGCATTATTTACTTCCATGTTTTCTAGCTTGCACCTTAGTGTGTTTCTTGACATGTCACTGCCAAATGTTGATCAGCTTAATAGTGTGAAACCATTGGCTGAAATGTGTATCGCATCACCTGCTTGCATGCATGTACATGTGTGTCCTTGTGCACATACACAAGGAACAACATAATAAAAACTTAAATATGCATAAAATTGACAAGTGAGAAGACTTGTCAAGCTAACTGCTAACATGCTAGCCAACAGGGAACATGCTAGTCAGTGACCAATCCCATCCAAGCTGTCTCAAGAAGCTAGCTGGATGTGTCACCAACCAAACAGAGATAATGAGATAATGATACCAAAGTCAAATGTGTGAATTAGTATGTCAAAATTCACTGATTTGATGTGACAAACTGCTTTACCCCTGCAAGTGGACCTGCCTATTGCAGCAATTCCGTTGACAATTTCATTTAAATTTCATCAAAGTCTGCCGTGAGGAATTTTTGTATTACGTCTAGTTCATCAGCTCAAAATGGACATTGTGCTTTTTAGGAGGACAACACACAGTAGCAAATTCTAATTGTGTATAATTAAGTAAATCCTTCTCAAATATGTAAATGTGATTGAACCTAATGTACAGTATGCATTATAATAGTCAGAGCCGGAAACTTTCAAAGAAAGGAGTGAGCCTCTTTTTGGTATTTGCAATAAATAACTTTCATTGTTGCATGGAAGCAATATCAACAACTCAGCAAAAAACTGTGCACCTAGGAGCAAAATAACACACACATGGAAGAAACCATTAAAAAACTAACATAAAAAACAACTATATTATACAGTTTTGTGCCAAAATATACAGAAGGGATAAAGGAATATCTAGTTGTTGCGAAAGAAGCCAATCTTAACAAGTCCGACACACACTGACTGGACACTTGGCCACAGCGAACACAGAGCACAGGAAGAACATGGCACACCTTCTCCGAGACAAAATAAACAAATAGTAGCTGACTTTAAAAGCAATAGTGGCAATATTTGTTTATGCTTGTTTACCCTTTATAGAATTGTATTAAAATAGTTTCTGCATGTTTTCTGTAGTACTCTTATTCCTAAACCTTCTACGGTCCTATTGACATCTAGAGCAACCATTTCAAAATCCCTTCAAAGGAAAGGATTAAGGATATAAATGAGCTTTATCATTCTAGAGAGACTACGGTTGTTAAAAATATATTTTTAGCAGTTTCTCCCAGGCCTCCTCGTGATTAAACAAAAACACAGAAAGTGAAGGCAGACAACTCCACCCAGCTCTGTTGTGCACGCCTACCCCAGGAGACCTGTGGATGGGAGACAGCCGTAGAAAAATACTTTTCTTTTAGTTCACTCCTTCAGTGTTGTACTTTTTCACTGTGTCTTGTCCATAATGGACAAATGGATCTGCTGCAGTCAATGGAGTCTAGACTAATACTTTCTATCTTTCAATGAAATACTTAGCAACTAGGATTCTAAAAATGATCATTGCACTGTTGACTAAAGTCACTGTGAGAAAAGAAAAAAAATCTATCTTTTTGTGATAAACTGACATTGGTAGCTTATTAGCAGACCCCCCCAAGAAAAACTGTTAGCTCTGTTGTATCTTAAGTGTTCACTTTGAAGAAACCGCAGTCTCCTGTATGTGAAAGGTAAACAAACATTGTGGACTTTGGCTTGCAGAGGTTGTGGTTGAGAAGAGGGATATACAGGAAGTAGGCATACTGTAAGTGGTTGAGGGAGGATGCGAGAGGAGTCATCCCCACACCCATGTGTTTGCTACATATTCTACTTCCTTTTCAAACGGAGGCCTGGTTCTCATATCTGGGTGAAGAGATTACCGTGTGAGCTTAGAAAGAATAGGTAGGTGAAGACTCGAATTGAATTCCGCAAATAATCTTCTTTTAGCTCTTAGAATTCATTTCTCATTTAACATAACATTGAGTTGTATAAGAAAGGTCTGGGTTTGATTCTGAATAGAGATGATAGAAGTGTGCAATGAATAAAATACCCTTCAGCCCAATTTACTGGTAAGAATCCAGAACAATAATGTTTTTGAAGCTGATTCAGTTGTAATGCACCTGTTAAATCCTCTCAGATCACACAGACCGACGTTCCCAGGTATAAGAACTAAGCCTCCGTTTGGTTTGGTTTAGTGTTCTATTATGTCTCGTTGCGATCAGTCACCACATGCAGGTACAACATTTACAGTCTGGGCCTCGTGCATGAGAGCATGCTACACATTCACCAGACAGTCACATTGAGGCGCAGGCGTAGACCACAAACACACATACATACACACATACTGTACATGCGCTCACGCACTTGTATGCATACACACAGAGCAGACAATATAGTAAGTTGACTGTACAGTCCAGTGTCAGAGGCATGGCAACACCTAAATTTGCCGTCTTGTTTTGGCTGAGCTATGAATGCAAAGCGGTTGGATTGGTTTGGTTGAGTTGGGAGGTGATCTAGATGGGGAAGATATTTTGGCTGAATAGTATTACAGTGGAATATTTGGATGTATGTGTGAGATACAGTGTGCAAGTGTTTCAGGATGTGCTGTTTTCTCCAACCCTATCACCAGACAGAACCTTGATATTGGACAATTCTGCAAAACCTCAGCTTATGTTCAATGTCAACAATAACATCCATGCATAACACCTACAAGTTGGTTCATATCATATTATGGTTGTGGTTATTATTAACATTCCCCGCTCCCTGCTATGCTGAGCTTTTCATTTCCTTATGGAGAATGAGTCTACATGCCAAACATAAATTCACAGTAATCCCTTCCTCCATGTGAGTTGGCTGATTGAACTATGGTTAAGGTTAGGCAACTAAAACAAGTGACTTAGCTTAGGAAAAGATCATGGTTACGGTAAAAAAGAGGGCAGCGAAATAGCTGGTCTCAGGGCTGTAGCTAGGATTTGAAAAAATACTGAAGTCATCAGTCCAAGTCCCCGAAACCCTACTCCCCTTCGCAAATTTTAACCAGACACCAAAAAGAAAGTCTGTACTTTTTTCTCCTTTATTTCACCACATGAAGATCTAGGCTGTTTCAAAGCCTTCAACGCCATCAGGGGCAACATTTTGATGGGGAAATACTGAATTAATTATGTATTCAATTATGTTGTGCTAAAGGTTGTCAAACTTAAATATATTGCGTTTAGAAATACTGGAATTAGCTGGTAAAATATACACCATGTGCAACTTTCAATTTGACCCAACGTAGCAGACAGAATGTGCTCATTGTATGTGACGTGCGTGTGTGATATATAGTAATCACAGCCCTGGAACAAGCTGACATGGTTTGTTGTACACTGGTGATATAGACATAGAGTACTGTGAATCTAAATTTCCTCCAGGCCACTATACCACCAAAATTTCCAGAAAAGGTACAACAACCGTGACCTCAATGTTAACTACAGCCATGGTTGGTCTTTGATGGGCATATCAGTCTCTGCATGAAAGTCAAATGGGCCACACCCATCCACCTCCCCAACTTCAACACTCTTATATGCTTCAACACTATAGAAAGGGCAGACTACTTACTGTATTCCTAATCTGCAGAATCGTCCAATATGAGCATAATTTGTTGGGATACTGGGCTGTTTTTTGGGATGGGCATCACAATTATTTCACTGGATGACACCAAAGGGCCTATTCCTGCATGAAGGAATCACATTTTTTTCAGTGTGGATTGATGTGGGAGGACAAGAGGTAGGGTGGGGGTTTAGCGTGGCATCCTTAGATTTAGTGCATTAGACAAATAAGGCTTCCCTAGAAGGGACCGATGCAGCAACAGGGGGCAAGAAGGAAAAGGTACCAGGAGGACAATCAGGGCATACAGCAGCAGCTATTGTAGAAGTGCCCCCACCCTCAACATCACTGTATGCTATTTGGTCTATGCCAAAATCCCTTACAGTGCCATGAGTGTATACATTCTTAGTATGGAATCAAACCCCTAACCTTGGCAGCATTAGCTTGCATGTCCTACCCACTTAGCTCTACAGGACCATGATTTGATTTGATTGATTTTCACAATATGTTAAGGGTGAAGCAACAGTAGGTAACATGTAAAGACTGGGACTTCAACACTAGCTACGTGCATAAAAAAGAGGTTGGGGCAACAGGGAGTTTCACTCAGAGCAATATGCGCTGAACCACAGGGAGAGGAGTAAATGCTCCGGTGACAAATCCGAACAGCGATAGCAGACACCCTGAAGTGAAACAGGAGCTAATAGATCGTCAGGCCATGAACAGATTGCTATTTCAAATCCTGACTGAAAACCAATCCCAGCTCTATCACTCGTGACTTAAAGTGGCAACTCCCTGCTCACATGGCCTGATGAATATCAAGAGCAGGGTGAAGTGGCAAATAAAAGAAGGAAGAGTTTGGCTGGAAGAGGAAAGGAGTGGTGAACGTAAGTAGAGAAGAGAGAAGGATAGGAGTAAAAAGCTAAGGAGGGGAGGAGAAAGGCAGAGTGATGGAAGTGGAGGGATTAGATTTCAGTTCACTCAATGTAAAAGTAAAACTCTGTTTACAACACAATCCTTCTCAGTTACAGACAGTTAGTTCTGGACTGTTTCCCTAAGTGATTCCCCTGACTAGAAAAAACCGTCCTCTCAATAGCTCAATATAATGTAACAGTATTGGTATAACCTGACTCATAACTAATAACTAAAAGAGGCAAAGCGTGAAGAATTGTTCTTTTTTTCTTACAATGAATCTGCAAAGTATACATTTCAATAAAATATAAATCTGAGGTGAAAAAAAATGAAAGACCCTCACCTGCTTTCCCAAAAAAGTCAAAAAAAAAAACAACCATACCCCTTCCTGACCCCCCTCTCTCCATAACTACCTTTCTACAGTCTCTAATTTTGTTTTTTCTCCTCTAGGAGAAATGATACAAGCTATGAGGAAAATCAATTTCCTGAATTGAATGAACTGAAAACGTATACCTTCCCGACCCTGGTGTACAGCAAGAACTGCATCAATGGAGAGACGAGCACACAGACAAGACTGAACAGAAATTATGATATTCATCACAATAAAGGTTGACAATTAGGATTCAACCTGCTCTCTCTCTCTCTGTTACACTCTCTACTCGTTTTAGGTACACCGATGAGCTGACAAGCAAGTGTTATATTGCACCATGAACTGCTTTGTTGCCGGTGGATTGATTTTGAGCTTCATGCTGGGGCAAGGAGTGGGAAGAACAAAACGAAACAAATACCTACTCATTCACACACACACAGAGAGTAAAACAACCCAAAGAACACACTTTATATCGACACACAGACATGAAAATCAATGTAAAAGGTGGCGTTTGATTGCACATACACCCTCACACATACAATACACAAGCAAAATTAAAGTAAAAAACAGACATAATAAGAAACTCACATACACATACAGGAGATGAAGGCACTATTGCAAGCAAAGTCCAAGTACTATTTGTGACAGACAACATCAACACCTTCTTCCCAGTCCTGTCCTGAATCCCTTGGGCTAGATGTTAGGGGTCAGGGGAAATATTTAGACAGAAAGAAAGCACTTTTACATTTTTTTGTGTGTTTTTGAGAGCATTTGTAGCTGTTTTCCTGTAAAACGAGCAGAGAAAGTCATACCTAAACATAGGAAATAGCTTGGGCTTGGCATGCTGTCATCTAACTTTCCTGTCTGTCTATGTTGAAACAGGAAGAGAGGTGCTGAATCATCTGTCCCTCACTCATCACCTTACCCTCTCCTGTATCCCTTAAATTCGTACATATAAACAGCTCACTGATTGCTCAGTGAAGAATGTGTCATTATTCACAGTACAGTGAGACACATTAAATTTTATCTCTCGCTACGTCCGCCCTTTCCTATCTGCCCTTTCCTTGTGTGGGAAGTGGACTCCGGTAAGTGAATAACAAGTGACTGTGACAAGACACTCATGACCTTGACGTCCACATTTGCTGTGTGAGCTGGACAGCCAAGTGTGGTCGAGTAAGGTGAATGAAAAGCGGTTCCACTGCCAAGAAACTATCTAGCCCAAGGGTTACACACACAAACAATTACACACGCACACACATGCAGGCATGCACACACGCACCCACACACACAATCACTCATGCATTCACACTACTGTTCCCCTCCCTTTCCCCAGGCAGCAGACAAGGCAGTACATTCAGGGTAACACAGGGTCAGTCCCTTCAGAAATCCATTGGATCCTCCTCCGCAAGGCCGTGATTGGCAACGGTCCTGCCTCCAACTTTCGATGGCGTCCCGTCACTTTCCGGTTTTGCTGCAGGGGGCGGGGTGAGCCCTGACCCCCCACCTGGCGCAGCCCAGGGATCAGTGGTAGGTGGATAGAAATCGTCATCGAAGCCGCAGAAGCCTTCGTCCACACCTTGATCATAGCGCTGGTAGGTGGAAGCGTGCACCTCGTTCTCTCTGGCCGTAATTTCCAGTGTACTATTCCACATGCCATAGCCAAAGTAGATGAGAACACCTGAAGGGACACAGACACATAGCATATATCCGATACATACATAACCACAAAACCAGATACTGTACTAACCCTAACCCTAGCTCTATTGAAAGATCTCAAAAACTAACTTAAAAGGACAGAAAAAGAGTAAACTGACAACTTAAAAACAATTCATCCCACTCTGAGTGAGTCAGAAGAATACAGCAATCCTACTCACAGTAAAATAAAAAGCACAGATGTCCACCTGTGTTTGTGTACAAACAAAAATTACTTTGCTGGACACCAGTCTGCATTAATTCTGTCTAAAATAAGCAGTGAAATATAAAAAAGGGACAGAAGTTAACAGAAGTTATAGAAGTTAAACTGAATGGTCAGGGCATTTACACACACAAGTACACACAAACACACACATACATAAATACAGATGTACAGATAGATACAACTGAGACAGGAAATAAAAGTGAGATGAGACCTCATTGTTCTTCCCAAAAAAACAAACAAAGCGAGTAACTGAGACATGTACTAGATTTTATTGGCTCACTGAGCCAATAAGAAATGGGTCAACTCAAGAGTAATGAAATGTTTTTGTTTAAGATCAAACAAGGTAAATTCCCATCTGTCCAGGATGACAGAGATGAGATAAATCCCCTCTTAAAATCGATCAATAAAAGACAAAAAAACTAAATTCAAGACATTCAGTGAAGTGTTTGCTTACCCACAAAGCACCAGATTGAAAATCGTATCCAGGTGATAGCAGACAGTTTTAGCATGAGGTAGATGTTGACCAGCATGGCTGAAGCAGGTACAAAGGGCACACAGGGTGCCATGTAAGGAAGCCGCTTAGGGTTCTCTGGTTGCTGGAGGATGATGATGATGAGCAGGGCAATGAAGATGATGAAGAAGATTAATAGCATCAAAGCCCACCAACGACCCTCTCCAATACTGCTCGATCCTGGAAGGAGAAGAAACAAGAGTGAATGATAGAATTACTTTATGGTTACACGATAATGTAAATTCCTGTCTGAATTTGTTCATGTGTTCTCACCAAAAATGATGAAGGAGCAGAAAGCGAAGTTGATGATGAAGAGTAGCAGCACACACACTGTAACAGTTTTTCCCGTGGCCAGAGTTGGCCTGTCCATCTTTCCCGGGAGGCCCAATCGGATCCTCAAGGTGTAATAACGTGGGCCAATGATCTTCTTCAACCGTCGGGACATTCCGCCCTCTGACTCTTCTGCTTCAATGCCAGTGGTCATATCCACTGTGCCATAGTTTGGGTGGCTGGCAGTGTAGGCGTTTTTATCTGGTTTGCCAATGAGCATCTCATTGTCACCCAATGACGGCAGGTTTTTGGCGCCACAGGTGTTAGTGGGCTGACCTCCATACTCATCCGCCTCACTGGTTGGTGAACAGGCATCTTTTTCGCACTCAGCCAGAACACCTTCTTTTCTCTTGTTGCTCTGCTCCTCAGAGAGGAAGTTCACAAAGCCGTGGATGTCGCCCTCAGGTTGGTAACGCAATAGAAGTACACAAAGGCTTACCTGCAGACCAGTAGATGGAATGATTTGTTTCTTTTAAAAGCAAAAAGACTTTTCATCATATTTCATTTATGTATCATGACCAGTGGCTCATTGATATCTCAGCTGATTGGCTACCAGCTGACTAGTACCATCCAGTGAGCAGCCTCTGCCTTTGTATGTCTATGAGCCTGACAGAGATGCCAACAACATTTGATCCATCACCACAACCAACTGTTTATATGTTAGACCTTTTGGTATTGTTGACTTTGCTAAGATGATTCATATGCTTGAGGGATTAGTTTCCCCAGCAAAATCCCCATTGCCGTGCACAATAACAGAGAAGGAGAGCAGAGCCTTTTTTTTCCCAAATCTGACTAACATTTGCAACTATCAATAAGGTGTCCACTATCATTATCCATCCCTTACCAGGGTATAGGCCAGCAGGGTTCCTATGGACATCATCTCTATGAGATCTCTTAGGCTGACCAGGAGGGACAGCAGGGCAGCCAGAAAGCCCGATACCACGCAGGCAACAGCAGGGGTCTCTGTGTAGGAAGACACGTTGGCCAGGAACCTAAACACACGCAAAAATGAGTAGATTGAGATTCAGTTGCTCACGTCATTTAGATTGCCATAAAAAATAAACAATACTAAATAACTGTGTGGACTGACTTAAACAGCAGGCCGTCCCCTGCCATGGCATAGATGACCCTGGGCATGGGGAACAGGGACCCGAGGAGGGATACAGTGAGCCCAGCTATGGAGCCCACCGCCACAATATACTTTGCGAACATACATCCATGCATTGCAAACATCTCCATGAGCGGGGCGTCTGCGTCAATCTCATTGTATGGTACCATCAGGGTCAGGATCACAGAAACCTGGGTGGAAAATGTTTGAATACAAACAAAGAAAAAATGTATTAATAGAGGTTTATGTTACAATATATAAAAAGTTAACTTTGTGATCATCATAAATTGTTGTTAAAATACCTTAATTAAATAATTAAATATTTATCTTGTGTTACGTAAAGCCATTATGTGTAAAATTTTATATGTTTTGGATTTTGGTGCCATGTAATATGATTGAAAGCTCCAGAATAGCTACTAAATGGACCTCGTTGACAGATCATTTCCGAGGCCAGAAATTAACTTTGTACTGTAGCTTTTAAGCTAACGCAGACAAAAAGTGCTCACAAAAATAGAAATTTAGAAATCTAGAAATCCTTGACAACTGGGCAAACTTTCTCTGCTGATGAAGATCACATGATATGACTGAAAGCACTAGATCAGCTGCTAAATGAACCTAGTGGTGAAACTGTTTTCTCAACCTCATCAGAATAAACTGACGGATGCTATAATTATATATAAAGTGCTACATTCTCACAGTCTAGCTTTACAAAGTTAGCACGCGGCACACCGAATCACGTGCAAAATGTTAATTAGTCACGCTTCTCCCTCACTGTGTGTGTGTGCGTGCGTGTGTGTTTAACTGTGTGCGTGATTTTGATCCTTGTGTCTGACGTGTGAAATCATGCAGGGCCATCTGTCACAGATACTGTGCTGCAAAAGAGGGGGATTTGCATGAACAGATTGCAGAAAAATAGGAATAATAAAAAAGACTAACCCTCACAGAGAGGAAGACAGAGAGACCAGTTTCTCCCTAGTAGCCCGGTGCCCTTTAACCCTTTGTCCAATCGGTGCACACACTGGTCGACAGTGTGTGTGAACCAGTCCAAGGGTGACTATACTAATGTAGAGGGAATTCTACAACAAATCCTGGTAAGACATATTTGTTTGGGAGACCAAAGCTGATCCCAAACTGTATAGTACAGTGGCCATGTCAGCTAGTTTTCAGTTTGCATATTTAAGTGACTCCCCAGTGGGATTGGTGGTTTCCCAAAACTCATCCAACATGACTTTCTCTCTCACTGTCCTCTTTAGGAAGAACCCTAATATTGAACATTTTGTATGAAGCTACAGTGTGTCTTAAACTTTCTAATGGCAGTGTACTGTTAAACTAATTATATCAAAAAAATATGTGACATGTCATGTGCTTAATCATATTATATTAAAGCGATTCCTTTATCTTGAACTGCAGCAGCCAGAGTATCCTGATGGATGTAGAAAAGTTATTCTGAGACGCCTACAGAGTGAGTTTGATTAAATAAAGACAGAGATGAAGAGAAGCTGAGAAAAGAGATTTTGCTGCACAAGAGAGGGGTGATGCGACTGGGAGACAGAGGCAGAGAAAGGTATTAAAAGAGAAGTAGCTGAGTTTTGAAGTTGATGCAATCTTTGGCCCCAGGCGATACCGAAAAAAATTCTCCATTCTGATAGGCCGCCGTTTAGACAGTACCCATAGCAACAACCATCCAGCACAAACTTTTCAAAATCAGAAATCTGGTAGGCTGTGCAAGTTGAACATGTAAAGACCAGAGATCAGATAGACACCCACACAGCTGGAGTGCAAGGGGAAGCGTCTAAATGTTTGATCTTTCCATCCTTCTGTCTGACACTTTTCAAAATGTGGGTCTCTATTTCCAAGTATGTTGCTCAAAGGTAATGCTAAAGGCAATGCTTGAAGATGAAGAATGATAAATAATCAAGCAGATGTTGATCTTTACACTAATAATCTATCATCTTAAAAATGAAAGGATAATGTTACAAAATAGTGTGAACAATGACTAAAACATTTGTGATTAAATGCATTGCTTTTGTTTCCAAAATAAAATGCTATGTGGGCATATGAATTAGAAAATGTGACTATATGCCTACTGTCCTCCTACAATAAATTTGATGATATTTATGTGGGAAATAAAAAAATATTTTGTAACATAAGAGTCACTGAGCCAAGTCATTATCTCACCTCATTACTACACTGTGCATGCCAAAACCATAAAATCAGCTATGAAGACTGTTTAGTTGTGTAGTGATATGCAGTTTTGCATTCTTAAATTTCCTTATCTCTGAAATGCTCAGTGGAAACAAATGAAGTATCTATTGTGCGTGTTTGGGTATGTCTACCAAGTAACTCACAGAGACATATGCAGTGAGGCAGGTGATGAGTGAGGCAGTGATGGCATAGGGGATGGAGGTGTTGGGACTCTTGGCCTCCTCTCCTGTTGTAGCAATGATGTCAAATCCAATGAAGGCATAGAAACAAGTGGCTGCTCCTTGCATCACCTGGAACAAGCAAGAAAAGCAAGAGAAATTATAGCTTCCCCCATCCCCTTTTATTTATTTACTTACTTGTGACTTAGTAGGTGTGTGTATTTTCATGTGTGTACATACCCCTGACCAGCCAAAGGGCAGGAACCTCCCCTCGTCCCAGTTCTCTCCGTTGACGAAAAACAGCCCGGCGATCATCATGAACACCCACACTATGAGGTTGATGACGTTCAGCACGTTGTTGAAGCCCACAGAGTTCTTCACTCCCAAAGCAACTATCACTGTCACCAGGAGCGCTATCAACAGCGCCAGCAGGTCTGGGTACGACTGCTCCCCTTTACCTAAGGGATAGGGTTAAGATTAACACACACATACAGATATTATAGTTGTACAAATCATACCTGTGACATACAAGCACCTTGGTGGTGGCGGGTGATGTAAAAAAAACCAAGCTTGCTAGATCAACAAATATGGGCAGGGCTTCAAGCCCAAGGTGTCATCCTAAAATGTCTCGTTTGGTTTGACTAATAGTCCCAAACCCACCAATGTTCAATTTAAAATGATAAAAATCAGAGAAAATAAAGCTTCAGAAACAAGTTAGACAAAATTTCCAAAGACAAAAAAGAACAAACCTCTATTAAGAAGACCATTAATCAATTCTATGAAGGATAGAAGATAACAAAGTTTGGTATATAAGAGTTAGCAATCAGGCCATCTTGGCTTTTTTTTAAATATCAAAAGGGATTTTCTAAGAATTTGTTTAATGGCAAAATTGGATCTACAGTAAACCAGTTTATCAATCATTTCTATTTAACCCAACTCAACATGCACAGGAACTTAGTCTTTACAAATACACAGGTGGTCACACACCCACACACAGAAACTAATGAGACATATTTTGAGCTAAATTCCACATTTTCCCAGTGGTGTGGAGAAACAGCTGTTTTTCTCCAGCAGGAAAAGGAAATATTAACTTTCCATTATGTTGTGAAACAGCTGCCAATGCTGATTATCATGTGACTACAACCACGGCTCAGTGTCCAACAGGAAGAGACTGTCAGGGCGGTGTCACCATGATAGACACAGCTGGCACACACACCAGCTATAGTATTACAACGGATTAGCAGACATTCCCCTCATGGTATGGTTTCTGACCTGGAAAACTGTGGGGCATGAATCATTTAGATATCCAAGATGCTACTTTCCATAATGACATGATTTCCGAGATAAGCAGTGAAACATCATTTGCTCCCTGGAAAAAAACCTGACACTGCTTGGCTGATTCACTGTTACTTAATTATTATTTTTTTATTATAAATATGTATTGTCAGACAGAATTTTCAGCTTGTTTTGGTCAATGGCTATTATATAACCCAGGAGAACTCTGGTTCAAGCCACTACAATAAAGAGTATTGGATGTTAAACTCCAAGCACAGAGCTGACTCTGATCCACCCTGATGGAGGGTAAAAGGGATAATTTCTCTCAAGTCACTTAGATGAAGGTCTGTTCATAGTTATAGAAGCAATATTTGCTTGACAAGCTGTAGGAAAATGGAGTAAAAGACTCCAATTACTATTCTTGCACAGTCAAACAAATCCAAACTGTTTTTGTGAGAATATATTCTTCATTATAAAAAGAAACAAATATTTGATATAAACTATTGGTGGTATTTGTTTAAATAAAAATTTGTTATTTATGTGCTGTTTCTATTCCCAGCAGGAAAGGGTTTACTTACTTCACATGCTGACTTTCTTTTACAAAACATTAGCTCCATAAACCATTCCTACTACATCACTGACCCCAGCAAGCAAAGTCTCTTTGACTTCCTAAACTGAAACCCAACCCTGAAACTAAAACATATAATTACACAAACTCTGTCACAGGCACACATGCTCCCCCACTCACCCAAGCCATTAAGCGTTCCGATGTGTGCAATCATAAAGTTACTGATGCTGTGATTGGCCAGTGAGTCTGCCATGCTGCTAAGAGCCGACGCCCCCGCCGCCGTCCCAATCAGATACTCCAGAATTAAGTTCCATCCGATGAAAAACGCCACACACTCGCCCACAGTCACGTAGCTGTATGTGTAGGCTGAACCTGTGGTCTTAGGCACCCGCACACCAAACTCTGCATAACACACTCCTGTGGGAGGGGTAGAGCAATACAGACACACATTCATACACAATATCAGTGATTTGACTGCATTATCATCTAAGTCAAAGGCTGAGTTGAAGGTACTGATAGGAGCATTAAGGTAATACTAACACGGCCCTTGAGTGTCTTTTATTATAGCTTTGCCCGTATAATGCCTTTGCCCTTGTTCTAATTGCATAGGTATTGAAATGCTCTTCATATAAATCACATCAGTGTAATGGTGAAAAGAAAATCAGTAACGTTTATACTGTGGCATACAGTCAGCCTATAGTGCTTGTGTGTGTGTGTGTGTGTGTGTGTGTGTGTGTGTGTGTGTCTGTAAGAGTGAGAGACAGTAAAAATGTTCGTAACAGATTTGAGAGCAAAAAAAAGTCACAGAATTTGCATCTGCTCCAGTCTCACCTGACAGTATGGAGGCCACAGCGGCGATAATGAAGGACACAATGACCCCCGGACCAGCCATTTCCTTGGCGACCAGCCCCGAGACCACATACATCCCAGTCCCGACGCAGCTGCCAACACCCAGCGACACCAGGTCCACTGTAGATAACACCCGGGCCAGCCTCGTCCCATGTGAGCTGGTACCTGTCATGGCCGAATCCAACATGGACTCCACAGGTTTGGTCCTCAGGACACGGGACGCAAAGGTGTTCCATGTCGAGGCCCATTGTACCCTCCGAGGGTCTAGTTTCCCTGCCAGACCGCTCATACTGAGGGCTAAGGTCAAGGGTCAGAGTCAAAGGGAAGAATTTCACAAGGAAGAGCGGAGAGTTCTCTCTTTGATACTTTTACTGTTTTCTTGTGAAAACTGTCGAAAAAGAGTTATTCCTTTTTCTAAATGATGGAAGATTTAGAAGAAGATCTGATTTTGTCTTGCTGCCTTTGCCTCTGTTTGCTCTTGTCTCTGGTCCTGGTTTAGTGGAATGCCATCTTAGTTTTTCCCCACATGGTGACAGAGAAAATTATCTGAAAAAAAAAGGTGTGATAATGATTTTTTGCAGCATTTCACAGCACATTGCTTGCTATTATTCGCCTGACACAATGCTTATTTTCAAGTACAGACACCAAGACACAGGAGCCCAACAGTGGAGATCCATTACATGTTGGTCCACAAATGAAGCGTACCTGAATGAGGAAGCAGCTAATTAGCAGTCCTCTCCCTGTAGCACCGTCGCTATAGTAGCCAAGCTCATTAGTGACGGCAATGGATGCTAAATCTTTTTTTGTTTCGTAAGGGAGTGAGAAAGCAATATGTCTATTCATATGTTGCTCACATAATTGTAAACCTCTACCGAACTGTGTAAAGTTTCAGATTCAAACAGGGCTGTCATGATTTATACACAATTTATATTGTGCTCACATTGCAGATGCATACATGTAGAATCAGTAGTACTGTAATCTATATCTTTGAGGTACTTGTAATTTACTTGAGTATATCCATTGTGTGCTCCTTTATACCTTTACTCCATTACATTTCATTCCACTGCATTTATTGACAGCTATAGTCACAAGTTTATTTGGAGTTTAAGATTTACATACAAAATTCAGTAACCCTGTGTTGCATCCACTGTGTATAACACATTTCATTTCCTACTTAAACAAAACAACCAATTGGTGTAATAGAAAAAATAGAAATGTCTCTTAATAAATATAATTTATCCACAACTTAAATAAAACAGCAAAGACCAGAATGGAATTCAGACATTTTCCTGGATGTCAAATTATATTATTAGTTTATTTGGGTAATTATTATTAAATGACAAGCCTTAAATTGACAAGGCTTTTTTTTTTGCAAACGGTATACTACCATACTTTTACTTAAGTATGCTTTCAATTCAGGACTCTGTATAATCATAATGTTGCTACAATGCAAAAAGACACTAAAATTATGTTTAGAAACTATGTCATCACCACATTATTGTAAATAAACAAACTGAAAATGCTTTATGTGGCAAAAAGTATAAATATGTTAGCAGCACACTGGGGAACAGAAACATGTAGCTGAATATGAATGTAAGCAATCATTGAAACAATTAAAATGTGGAGTGCAGTATAATTATAACAATTATGCATTAACAATAAAGTAGCAGAGGCTTTTTTATACTTTTTTTTTTTTTTACAGCTTTATAACAGTGTCTCCAATGTCATATGAGCAACAGTGTGATAAGAGCTGTTGAAATGAGAGCTATTATAGGCATCAATTGTAGCGCAGTCCCCCTTTCTCATTTTCTCTCTACCTCTTAACAGCAGTGAACGAACACTCACCATTCATCCACTTTGAACAACAAACGCAAGTTACTAAACAAACATGCACTCACATACAGCGCACCCACATTACCTCTCAGCTACAATATGAACCACTCACACAAATGATGACTGCAATTACCCAGCTGTTTAACCAGAGTAGGCTGGGGCTGCTATTGTCGCTGCACTTAGTGGGAGTACGAGCATGGAGAGGTACAAAAAGCTCAAAAGGTGATTTAATTTGTGTGTGATGGTGAGTGTCAGGTGTGGCAGGGGCTCTTAACCCATCACAAGGCCAACTCACAGGTATCCCGATTATACTGTAATGAAACTGAATTTCACAGTTTACTCTCACTCAACATATTTAAATGTCCAAAAACCTTGTAGCGGGGGAGTTGAGGAAGACGTGACATGAAATGGATCCAAACAGAGAGTGATTAAAGTACATGGCGGAGGATGTGTTGTCCACTCAGCTGCAGGGATGTAACAGAGCTGATCAAAATCAGTAAAGTCACATCAAAATATGCACCTAAAACAAACTCAAAGGTAATTGTGAGGGGAAAAAATCAATTCACATAGGAATTGTGGTCCTCTAGCGATTCTGAATAGAGTCCCAGATCCCAAAAGTTTACTCTTTTATATTGTTAATAACATAACTGCAATGCTATGCTGATGGAAACAAAAAAGGAAAACTATTGCATAAAAGCACAGTGTGTCTTCCAGAGGATGTACAGCACACACATACACCAGTGAAGGCAAGTATTTGAGTGCATTTGTGACTCATACAATATGTAGCATTTGCAAGGTGAAGTATTTTGGGAGTGCTACTGTACAAAAAACAATTGTGACAAATACACACTTACTCATCTGGAAACACACAGATGAACACACATATATAGACAAGAATGTGTCCAAGAATGCACTATTTAAAGCAAAAGCACAAACATGCATGTGTGTGTGTGAGGAGAATAGGAAAAGAACAGATTAGGAGGAAAGGAAGAGGAAGATGAGCAGACTGAAAAACAGCAAATCTGTTTTCCATTAAAGCACCAAGCTTTGATCCGGTTGGGCTTTGTCGATAAATGTGTGTGAAAGAAAAGAGTGTGTGCAGAGGGGCCAGACAGACTTTAGCAGATTTAATTGGAGACACTGATACCTATGCACGTATCCAATCACACGCAAAACTCCAAAACTTCCAAAAGGGTATCTTGGGACAAAATAGGTTCTGGTTGAGACTGTTGTGTTTATGGGATACGTATGACACACACACGCACACATACAGCCTTTCATCAGTCAATATTACAAATCAAATCATGCAAGCAGCTTGTTTTTCAAAACGTCTGTTACATTTAAATATTATTTTATATTCTCTGGCTTGTTTTATTGACAGTGATCACCACCTGCCCTGTGCAGAGTTTGAGATATGAACAGTCGTAGATCAACAAAATGAGCTGCACAAAGCACTGTGGCAGCAGGTGTTCCATCTGCTCTGAGAACTGACTTCGTTTTACTAACACTCCATCGTGGAATAAAGGTTTGTCTAAGAGCATTTAACCTTTGTGCAAACTGAGGCCTACTGTATGTGACAAAGTGACAAAGTATCAGTTACACAACTAATGTCAACGGTATTACCATATTCCCTGTGATAATTACAGGTTTTTTACAGTTAAACTTTACAAAACCTTTAGAGTAAAATCGTAAAACAATTGAAAGTAAAGAAAGTTAAATATAAATTACAAGCAGAACAAACGTGTTGTACTGTAAATACAATTTAAAGGAGCAAAAACGGATTTGTTTCGAAGAGCTTATTCGAATGCTCAGCCACTCCTAGTTTTGAGTCTTGACTTAGGAACCACTCAAAAAGGCTTTCAGGCTGCAAACTGGCTCATATGATGTTAGGAGGTTAGTATTACAGTTGACGGAGCTGACCCCACGCAGCAAAGAGCTTTAGGAAACTGAGCTAATGGTAGCCTCATTACCTTCACCAAGGATCTTCCATGTGTTTGTTTAGATAGTTAGCAGCATTTCTATGAAATTTCGTGGAAAGGTAAGCCAAGAAACAAGTAAATCTTTTTGGTGCAGATGTAGACCCAGCTACATATCCAGTAATGTTTTTCAGCACTTATAATAATGATTCATTAATAATAATAATTCCTAATAACCTATTTCAGTTACTGACTAAATAAAATATGTAAATCCCATGGTGCTTTGTCACTGTGTGAAATTTAATTCAGATCTTGATCCAGATCATGAACATTTCTAATTTACTATTAATGAAATTAGAAAATGAGAGCCTTGTAGGGTATTCACTCTCTCTCTCTCTCTCTCTCTCTCTCTCTCTCTCTCTCTCTCTCTCTCTCTCTCTCTCCAGTGATTTACAGTAATTTACAGTAGTGGCTTGGGCAGACAACCTTTTAATTATAACATTTTGGAAAATACTCTTTTGCCAAGAGTTACATTCAAAGATCAATATCACATTGGAACTGGAGCCAGGAGACCATTAGCTTAGCTTTCCATAAAAAAACTGGAAGCAGGGAGAAAGAGCTAGCTTGGCTCTGTCCAAAGTTCTTGATTCTTTCCATCACCGTGAGGTTTCACTGTTGCACATTGATCAGTACAGTCACTATATAAAATCAGACTTAGGCTTATTTCACTACTAATACTTCATTACATCACATACAGTGTAATGTATGCAGTGGCAGGTGGTACTTGCAACATCTGCATGGTGCACCATCCCGACTCTGAGAACAAGACAGAAACAGGCACAGTGCTGTTCATCTAAACCTTTGTACGGAGCACAAACTGAAGAGCCAGTGGCAACATTAGCTACTGAATTATTCAAAATAGCGGGGGTGCGAGCAATACATTTTATATTTATTCAAACATCTAGCTGTAGAATTACTCATATTGCTCTTGCCATTTCATTAGAGGAGAAAGAACCATTGGTATATGTGAACAAAACAGCATGAAGAGGGAAAAACAAAATAAAGCCAAGCTGTGAGTAAGGGAAATATTTTAAAAATTACTGTCATCTCCCTGTGTGTGAGCAATACACTGTTGTTGTGTTTATAGGAGCTCTGTTTCACACAGACAAGCAGTGTAATAGAATTTCGAACAAGATCTTCAATATTATATCACTAAACAAACACCCATTATCTGCTCTGCAAGAGTGCTGCCGTTTAAAGATCAATAGTTGAATCCCTGTCATTATAATCATCACCACCACCTCTAGCATCTTAACATTAGTTTGTTTCCTCTCCAGATAAGAGAGCTGTCAGAACATCCATCCTTGTGTCTAATCAGCCGTGACTAAGCCTGTCTCCGTGTCCGCCCCTGCCCGCATCTGAATTACTGGATGAATAACCTGATTGAGCTCTCACTGCCTTTACAGTAAGAGCTGAATTGGCTTAATAAGGCTGAAAGCCCTTCTGATTCACTCAAAACCAACCTGGCAACTGACCAGCATTGCGTGGCTTGGCCTCAGCCACTACATAAACTAAACCTGGAAAGCAGCCCTGGCCTTCATTCTGATGGCCCACTGACAGAACAGGAAGGAGCTAACTCATCATCATTGAGTAGGATACCTGAGTCAGGGAAATTTGTCTTACTTTGTAACTACTTTGTAACTTTGTTTTCCTCTTTTTCTCTCAGTCTCACTATCTATCACTGTGCCTCAGTGTGGCAGATATTTTTGCAAGCTGCTTTTAAAGAAAATCTTCATG